AAATAGAAAATAATAGATAATTTTCAAATTAATATCAGATTATTAAAATAATGGAAAAACTTTAACAAAAAATTTACAATTTTAAATTGATTATAAAATATTCATCCTATATTTATATTCATATTTATATATATATTTATTAAAAATTATAATTTACGTTTTTAATTTTGCAAGCCAGATTGAATAATTTTCAAAAGACTTGGTCCAAGCTTTAAAATTGCCTTTTTAAAAAAATAAAATTTTTACGAGAATAAATTTGAGATCATGTTTTTTTATTTTTTTCAAACTCTAAATTAAAATGATGATTTTTTAATCAAGAATTTTGTTGAACTTTTAAAATGAATATTTGGGCAAAATCAGTTTTTTCATATTCCATAATGTTTAAATTAAATTTTTAATTTTTATTAATTTATCAAAAATGGATAATAAAATTAAGAGGAATATAATTTAATATTCATGTCAAAAACAAATTTGCTTTCATTTGAATATAAAAATATTTTTTTAATATATCTAACATCTAAAATATAATCATTTTTTTCCATTAAAAAATATGTATGATAATTTGAATATATTATAAATAATGGTATTTTGTTATATATATATTTATATATAAATCCCTGAACTTATAACATAAAAAGAAATCAATCTTCATTCTTGTTTATATAATTGAAATGGCAATGTCAAAAGTGTTATCTGTATTTTTTTTTTCAATTTAGACAATTTGGTCAAGATAAAATAATAAATCAGAATATATAAAACCAAAAAATATTTTCAACATTTTCATATTGGTGGAATCATTTAGTTTAACTGGATAATCGTAATTAAGATTTTCAAAAAATTGATAATTTTTCTTGAAAATTCACCCATTGTTTTGTATTTAAATAAAACCTATTAATTTTTAACATGTCATAAAGACCTGAAGTTTCTTTTTTTAAAGGCATGTGATATTTTTAACAATAAAATAAGAAGGAAATTTTCTGGTCACGATGATAAAAAAATGGTTTGAAAAATTCATCCTATAAATTTTCAAAGATGTTTTAACAAAATAAATTGGATGATTATATATATACCAAATAAGATCAAATATATAACCTATAAGATTGGTTCAGAAAAATTTTTAAAAAATACAGATTTATTTTTTCATTTTGTGAAAGGCAGATTTCAATTGTTTTTTAAAGTAAAAAACCTGGAAAAAAAAAAATGAATGTTCCAATTTCAAAATTCAAATTTTATTTTTTTTAAATTATTTTTGATTTATTAATTTCAATATATTCACCTTAACAATTATTTTTAAAAATGAAATATAATTTCTAAAACCATTTTAATATTGAAATGCTATTATTTTTAAAATTTATTTAAAAGTTTTATTAAAATAATTCCAAACTTACTTTTTTAACAAATCTTTAAAATATTTTCATCTATTGTGTTTTATTTTATTTTTTAAAAATTCGATATATATAAATGAATATTTTATTGTATATTATATATAAATTACACTTAACTGTTTTTATCTAAAAATATATAAAATAAATATAAAATTTTTATATAATATATATTTGTTAATATAAGAATATATATATTAATATAATTTTCATATATATTTTATTTATATATATATATATATATATTTACATATATAAATATATATATAAATATCAAATTGATTACAGATAATATTTTATTTTATTTTAAATAAAATATATATATATATAAAATTATATATATATATATAATTTTAATTAAAATTTAATTTTTAAACCAAAATTCCAATAAATCAAAAAAATATGTATAATGTATAAAACTTTCATACAGAATATTTTTCTTTAAATGAAAAATTTTATTATCCTCATTTTTAAAAAAAAATATGATAGTTAAAAAAAAAAAAAAAATATTTTCATTTGGAAAATTTAAATAAAACAGAAATATTTAAAATCAAATTAAAATGAATCCATCTTAAATATTATCATTATCATGAATTTTTAATCCAGCAAATCCCTCGATAAGAAAAGAAATTTTTCGATTGATATAAAAAACTTATTGACTTTATCTTTTTCAATGATGAAATTTGTTTCTTTAGAAATGTTAAAATATCATTATTATATATATTTCTATTAAAAAATGCTCAATATTTCAGATTTTAAAAATTTTCAAAGAAATTTTGCATCTTTGTTATCAGCGAGTTTTTTTTTAAATAAAAAAAAATTTTTCCTAAATAATATATATATATTTCAATATATATAAAAGATAAAATGTGAAATTGTGTTGTTGTGTGTGTTTATTTACCTGGCTTTAATTTCATTTCCATATTTTGTCTTATAAATTTGCCATTTTTAAAAAATTGAAAACAAAAAAAAAAATTGGCTTTTTCAATTTTCCATTTATAAAACTAACTATCAATAGAAAGTTTTAGCCAATAATTAAATTTTTCATATTCAAATTAAAATATTTATATGGTATTAAGATATATTAAATTTGTATTAATTTTATTAACATATCAAATTGGACAATTAATTGATTTTATTTATATGAAAATAATTTAATAAAAAAATATTTTTCATGGCATCCATTATAACAATTAAAAAAAAAAAAAATCAAATCATTTAAATTAATAATTGGTATTATTACTTTCATTTTTTTCATTTTAATTTTTCAAAATTTTCATTTTTTTATGGACAATGTTTTTTCCAGAAAATCTCATTTAAAAAATTAATTATTGTATAATTTTTCTCTTTCAACGAATTTTCTGTCGTTTTAATTTATCAGGTTTTTTTAGAATCATTTTTTATTTTTTCATTTGTATTTGAAATTTCTTGTATTTTCTTTTTTTACTTTATTTCAAATTTTTAACTATGCATTTGATTCATGATTGTTAAATGTTTATTAAATATAGAAATTATTTTTTTTTAAAATATAACATTTATATATATATATATATATATATATATATATATATATAATATATATATATATACTAAATAAGTCTTTTTAATTAAAATTTTTTTTTTCAAACATGTTTTTTTAAATAATATTTACAAGTGTTGGATTCATTTTCTGTAAATTCTGGATAAAATCTGATAAACTTAATAACATTATTTTTAAACAGAACATTTACCTTGTTGGTATATTTTTCATTTTTAATCCAATCTAAATTTTCGGATTACATAAGCCATTATCAAAGATATCAATTGACTTGTATAACATTGTTTATATTTAATACATCAATAAGTATGTTTTGAATACTCTGTTTCTTTTTAAATGGATGAGTTCTAATAAAATGATAAATACATAAGACGCTAGAAACATTAATATAATTAAAATAATAAAAAAGATTTTTTATATATTTGATCCAAATATTTTAAATATTAAATAATTAAAAATAGATAATATTAATAATATTGCATGTCAAAAAATAGGTTTTTTTTAAATATTGTTTTTTTATTTATTTGTTATATTATTTTTTTTATAAATTTCCAGTCTTTAGTGGTTGTATATTTTAACAATTTTTCAATTTTTTTTTTTTTTGTTCTACAAAATTTTCCAAATCGACTTTTCTCAAATCTTTTATACATGTTTCATTCGTATTCATGGAAATTTACGTTCTTTTTTATATATAATGTTCTAGTTCATCAAAAATAAAAAAACTATATATTTTTCGTCTGGTTGTAATTTTATATTATTTTTTTAGAAATTTTTTATTTTTTATATATATATAAAAGTTTGTGTTATATTATGTTATATAATTGATTAAATTGTAATATTTTTTAATTTTAATTAAATTTTATTATATTTTTTAGCTTAATTTTTTTCATTAATATTTTAAATTATTTATTTTATATTAGTAACAAAGTAAATGTTTGTTTATTTCAGTTTTTTTTTTTTTCATTCTTTTATTTTATATTTAATTTTTTCATTAAATAAAGAATGAAATTTGGGCATTCTTTATATTAAAAAAATGAAAAAACAAAACAAATGGTCATAAACATGTCGTCTTTAAACTTATTTCATGAATATGCATGATAAAAAGATTAATTGAATAGAAAGTCAAATTATTTAAAAAATGAACAAAGTCAATAATATCTTTTTTTTTTTGAACAATTATGAATTTGCATTATGTGCAAGTGACATTGAACAAAGGCTCATATGGATAAATCAATTTCGCGAAGAACACCATCGTCTGAAGAAATCATTTGCTTACAAAAAAAAAATATATTTTATTTAAATTTTTTATCTTTCCAATTCCCGGAAAAAATTTTATAAAATGTATCAAAAAATTCCCCATTTTAAATTCGAACTATCGGCCAATTTCTATTCGCCCTTCAAATAAGCCCAAATTATATTTTGATGGGTAAATTTATTCGAGACACCATCAGGATTTATCTCACCGATGGTAAAATTTTTCCAAATTTGAGCTGTATTTTTATATATATATATATTAAAAAAAATTATTGAACGAAATTTAAAGAGTATTTTATAATGTCTAATGGAGCTGAACATTATTTTTATGTTTAGATGCATTTAAACTGATCAAATTTTATTTCAGAGAACAATAAAATTAAATTTTGTTTGATTAAAACCCTGCTAACATGGAAGTACCCAAGAATCATTTGAGGCACATAATGCTTTATGAGTTCAAGAAAGGAAACTCAGCAGCCGAAGCGGCTAGAAACATTCACTCAGTTTATGGAGAGGAATGTGAATGAAAGAACTTGCAGAAGATGGTTTGCAAAATTCAGAGGTGGAGATTTCACCCTTGAAGATGAAGATCGAACCGGACGTCCAGTTGAGTTTGATGAAAAGCTTCTTGAAGCAGCCCTTGAAGAAAATCCTGCTTTATCAGTTGAGGAATTGGCAGTGGTTCTCAGTTCAAACCATACAACTGTTCATCGTCATCTTCAACAACTTGGAAAAAGTTCCTAAACTTGGAAAATGGGTGCCTCATGAATTGTCTGAAAACAACCTCAAATCCTGAGTTGACATCTGCTCTTCTCTCCATTCTCGCC